AACAAACGCAACAGTGAAAACACTTGGCTTATATTGGCAGCCCAACAGCATTCACATTTTCAATTAATTTCGCAATAAATCCATCAATGACGAAACGTTCGGTTTTATCCACCATCGCTCGTTTGTTCGACCCCCTTGGATTTTTAAGTCCCGTGACAGTTGCTGCAAAAATCATTTTGAAAGAGATATGGACAATGAAGGTACAACGTGAAGACAGCCGGATCACCGCTTTAGACTGGGATGAAGCACTACCACCATCAGTCGGTATCACATGGCAACATTTCGTTTCTGAACTACCACAAGTGAATACAATATCTATCCCACGCTGGGTTTGCTTTTCATCTCAACACGTCCAATCAATGGAACTACATGCGTTCTGTGATGGTTCCTCGTCAGCGTACACCACTTCGGTGTATCTTCGTGTTCGATTACACAACGATGACATTCAAACCTATCTGGTTGCGGCCAAAACCAAAGTTACCCCAACATGTTCGATTACCATTCCACGGGTGGAACTCTGTGGGGCGGTCCTAGCTACGACACTTGCTAGTTGGGTGCAGAAAAACCTGAACGGAATACATAATAAGGTTCCTATTTTTTATTGGACAGACGCTATGATAGTGCTCTACTGGATCCAGGGTGATATTAACAAGTGGAAAACTTATGTTCAAAAATCGCATTAGCATAATTTTGTCTACGAGTACACCAAACCAATGGAATCATGTGCGTACTAATGATAACCCCGCAGATTGCGCAACCCGTGGTCTTACTCCGAAACAACTAAAAAATATGGAGTTATGGTGGAGTGGACCTGTATGGTTGAAAAATCTCAAGAATACCTGGAAGAAATGCATTATTAGCGAAACGGAAACANCTGATGGGTGATTTACCCACTCAGCGTATAAATCCTCCACGCCGACCATTCCTCGCAACGGGTGTGGACTACACTGGAGCCATTGAACTTAAGGCTTCCAGATACCGTGGGCATACTATTTACAAAAGCTATATTACAATATTTATCTGCCTAGAAACCAAGGCAATCCATTTGGAAGCGGTCACTGGAATGACAACCGAACATTTTTTGTGGGCTCTACAGCGTTTTATCGGCCGTCGTAGACTTTGTAATGATTTATACAGCGCCTGTGGAACTAATTTTATGGGAGCTAACGCAATTTTAACTACGAACCATCAACGGTGCAAGGAAGATGTAGAGCGTGAAATCGTTCCAAAACTAGCTGAGCAAAGCATCAATTGGCATTTTAATCCGCCACATTCGCCCAATTTTGGTGGACTATGGGAAGCCAATGTCAAATCGATAAAGTATCACCTAAAGCGTATCGTAGGAGGTACTAAGCTAACATATGAGCAGCTATCTACGGTCTTAGTTCGTATAGAAGCCTGCCTCAATTCAAGGCCGCTGTGCCCTCTCACCTCAGATCCCGACGATCTTTTCGTTCTAACACCCGGATATTTCTTAATCGAGAGTAAACCCATCTCAGCTCAATATATTAAATTACAACGTTTAGTGCAGCTTTTTTGGTCCAAATGGAAGACGGACTGTCTTTCGCACCTCCAAGCACGACTTAAGTGGAAACACGAAGAGCCAAACCTCTCCGTTAACGAACTTCTGCTAGTAAAGGATGAGCGATTACCACCAAATCAATGGATGTTGGGACGTGTTGTAGAACTGCATCCTGGATCAGATAAGCTAGTACGTGTTGTTACTATACGTACTAAAAATGGCTTGTACAAACGCTCAATTTCTAAGATTTGCCGATTGCCGATTTCAAACAATGAAAATAATTCAGTCAACTCCCCTTAATACAACAATCTCTCTTTGCACACTCTTTTCGTACTTCTCTTCTTTCAGATTTCGTTGCTGGCATTACTGCACCTACATTTTCATACATCATGCTGGATTCAGCATTGGGGGCGGCATGTACAAACTTCAACAAGTTGGCATTAAACCTGTGTACGATTTAACACCGCGCCCACTGTACATGAGAAATCATCGTATGATTTGTGCACTAACGGTTGCCTTCCAATACTTCAGTGCCGTTCGTTTAATTTACACAGCTTTGGGCTGTTTTGCCGTGTACCGAAATATTCATTCGATAAGCGACCATCGCCAACATCGGAGTGCTGATCATATTCAATTTAATCAAGTCATTGTGCTTAAGTTATCTTGTATGTTCAACCGTAACAAAAAATATAGTACATATATATATTTGGACAAAGAACCACGAATACAATAGTTTTTCTACTACACAAGAAGTGTTTCGTTTAGTTCAGTAGAACCCGAAATAAAACACATTTTATTTTTAGTTGGAAACCATACGGAAAAAAACAAACTTTTATTACTTCTCTCCGCTCGCCACAACAGTTCGTGACTTGATTGTTTTGTAACGGAAATTTTAATCAACAAAATTTCGGCGGGATTCAAAATGGCTGTATTTCTGTCGGCTTTCGAG